ACCGACTCTTAGCATCTGAGTGTTCAGTGCAAGCCCTGTCCCTGGGCACAGGCGGGCTGATGCCACTTTGCATACTCAAACCTCAGGAGACTGCCTTTGCTTCGACTAATCTCACCCCAGGAGAAGAAATCAGGATGCTCTCTGCCACCCGAGACGGCACCCCAGAATCATTTCACGTTCAATTTCCCCATCAAATTCGCAAGCACGTACCATATGCCATTATTCCATTTCCTAATGGCCTGTGTGGTGGAAATTGTAAGTGGGACATTTCTTCCTGCCCTTGGCATTTCCAACTCTTTAGAACTCCCTTTCCAGGCCAGACTCTCTTTCTGACATCTGTGCCATGCCTTACCCTCTCCAAAGTCCTGGCACCATCTGCCCCGGACCTCTGCTCATCCCAAGACCTGAAGGAACAAGAGGGACTGTCCCTTGGGGGAGCAGCAATGCTCCTACCCGGGGTTTCAGAAGGCGGCTGGCATCACAGTGGTGTGGCCAGGGGCAGGGGCAAGGTCACGAGGAGACTGATTTGATCCCCTCTGCATGCCACTCACAAGCTGTGGGACCTGGGCAAGATCATCTGGCCTCCTGCCAGTCCCAGTGCCCTCACCTAGAAAACGGTGATAACAGCAGCCACACCTGGTGGCAGAATCCAAAGGGCCCGGGGCAGAGCTAAGCTCACAACAGCTATGAGAGCCTCAGCCCAGGATCTCCTGCACCAGCACCCCGCCTCGAGAGGGCAGAACGAGACCCGGGAGGCAGAGGCCAGCTAAGGCCGGGCAACCCCCCAGAGGAGCCTTGTACAGACTTTTAATTCATAAATGGTGGGGAGAACCCAGGGGCCCTGGGGAGACGACAGGCAAGCCGATGGGCTGGGGCACTGATCTTCAACCAGAGTGGAAATATTCAGCAGTTTACCAGCCAGGGTGGGCCTGGCAGCACCTGCCAGCTGGGGGAGCCCCGGGGATGCTGAACAACTCAAATGTGAAAGAGACTGTCCAGGAAAGCTCCCTGGGTAAGTGTAAAAGCCTGTAAAACCACCCCCACACACTCAGACTCTTGAGATGGTGAGTAGCTGCTGATCTGTGCCTTCCTCGCACCCCAAACACTCTGTTCTAGCCCCGCCAGCTAGACTGGCACCTTCTCCAGGCCTCAGGCCCCCCTGGGTCAAACCAGGATGGTTCCTGAACTCCAAAGGTCCACACTCTCCCTCAAGTAAGTGCGTGTGTGTGTGTGTGCGCATGTGCGCACACGTTCACGCTACTCCGCATGTGCCCGTGTGTGCACATGCAAGTGTGCACACATGTGTGCGGGGACATGTGTGCATGCATGGTGGGTGTGTGTAAACCCACGTCCTCCTAGCCTGAGGCCCTGCACGCCTGGCCGGGGCCTCCACCTTGGAAAACACAGACCTTCAGGCTGCGCGGACCAGGAGAGGCGCCATGGGATGGAATTCAAGTCTAATCACTTGAAGATGGGCCTGTTTATTTGCATGGCACGCATTTGTCTCTGACTGTTTTATCCACCCCCTGAGCCAACCGAAGCGCTCTCAATTTATCCTGCCCGCACGGAGAGACCAGATTGGCGGCACGCACATTCACAGAAGCCCAATATAGACTTCCAATTATCTTTTAATTTCGTTCCTGTCTTCATTTGTTCATTTCACTTTTTCCAAACGGACTGGGGAAAAAAAAAAACTTGTAATTTATGGCGTTTGAAGGCAGCTAGCAGGGGTGTCGTGTTCACCTGCCGGATGCCATGAGACCTCGGGGTAGAAATGAAAACTCACTTCGAACAGCCCTGCCCGGGAGGCGGCTCCTCAGAGTGGCCCCGAACCCCTGTTCTTCCCTCTCCTGTTCTCCTGAGTCTCCGTAGTATCGACACCCGCTTAGCGTCTGTATTCTTGATGCTGCGGCATCGGGGCCCTCTGACCTTGGACTAGGCTGGGACTGCCCCTCCCGGGACTGGCTGCTTCCTAAAGAGAGAAAAGGGCCCTGGGATCGTCCCTTTCACGGGGAAATGAGACAACACCCCCCGCCTCCCTTTCATCAGGCCCTCCGTGCTCTTGGGGGCCCTGCACAACGACCCCCTGCGCCAGTCACCTCCACCAGCGCCGGGCCGCTGAAGACAGCCCGGAGGGCACCCTGACATTATTCACACTAGCCTGCCCTCAGCCTTCGCCCACGCCTCCACAAAAACTACAATTAAGGTTCTTGGTCACCCCTTCCTCTTGTTCCCCGCCTGGCATTTCGGGGCTGGGGGCACACGGGCCCTTCTTGGAGCTGAAACCCACTGTCTTTCAACCGCAGTCATCCCTGGGGGGCCGACGCGCCACAACTGAGTAATAACGAAAGCTGCGTTTTAGGACAGCCCTAGGCGGTGCGCTGGCCGGTCCCTGACGGAGGGTGGCCCGAGGGAAGTGTCACGCGCTGGGGCCCTCCTCTGCTCGGGCTCACAGGGGTGGCTTTCGCCTTCCAACGTGGGAAGGTGAGAGCAAATGCATGATCATCCCGCATTCAAATCAGAGCCAGGTGACCCCAAGTATCAACCCCCTGCACCCTTGAGCCGGTCCAGGTGGTCCTTGTGCTCCGTCATGGTTCTTCCTGCCCCCAGTTTCCCAGTTTTCCTCAGTCTTGCTATTTTCCCTCTGGGGCCTCTCCCCCTCCCCCCCAATCCCCCCCCCCCCCCCCACCACACCAAGCATCCTCTCCATCTTCTCTTGTCTGGACTTGGTGCCGGACTCCTGATCCACTCTCTCTCGGAGCCCCCCAACAGCACAGCCCCCATCTTTCCACTCTGTATCTTCTTCCCCCAGAATCTGCTGTCTACAGAGCTGCAGGGGTCAGGGATGTCTCCTCCGCCTGTGAACTGCATCCCAGGGCAGGGCTTGGCTCATGGCAAGCCTCTGGTGGATATTTGTTCAGTCAATCATCAATCAATCAATCAGTAAATTAACCTTGGCCCCTGCTTCCTTCATCAACACTCAACACCTCCCTGGAGCCCTCTCTGACCCCTGTTCTGATGCCCCTTGCTCTGGCTCCCTGGCTGGCCCATAGTCCCTTTACTTTTCATTACTTTTCGCCAGTGAGCACCTGCTGGCAACTCAGCTCATTCCCTTTTCCTTTGTGATACTGGCAGCTGGCCAGGTCCCAGGCGAGTGCCCCATCTTCCAGGTCAGGACAGAAGCTCCCCCTGAGGCTGAGACTGTGTCTCTGGTTTCCAGGGTCTGCCCACCTTCCCCTTCCTTGCCGTAGGGCCCCAGGTGTGGCCACATCCCGCACCCAGGCGTATGGTTCCCATGGGGGATGGGCTGGCTGGCTGGAAGGGCTTTAGCAGAGCTGCAGGGAGCGCGTGCTCCGGGGTACAGTGGGGTCTCTTGGGTGGGAAGCAGCACACCACCTGCTTGGCCTCTGAGGGCACAGTGCCAGCTCACTGCACACCACAGGGGCATGCCACAAGTCTCCCCCTGTCTGAGAGTACAGGAGTCCCCACGTGCTCCTACCCCTGCAATGGTAACTCAGGAGGCCCCACATCAGCCCAAGAGCCCCGGTTGCACCACCGGGCCTATCACCTATACTTCTCCCTCTTCCCAGAGGATGACAATGGGCCACGCAGCTGGAGAGACCTGGTTACACCTGAGACTCTGCCACTCACAACCTACATGACCTTGGAACAGCCTCAGTTTCCTCACCTGTAAAATGCACTGGCAACTGCCACCTCTCCAGGTCCCTGTGCTTTAAGAATCTGGGGATCAGGCGGTGCCCACTTGCCTGAGTGGCCCCACCAGCCCAGTGTCCTCACTGGTGGACGTTATCTGCCCAGCCCTGCCAGGCAGCATGAGTTTGAGACCCTGCCCTGGCTGCGGGAGTCCTGAGGCCTGGATTGGGGGGAGGGGAGGGGCAGAACTACATCTACACTTCAGAAAGCCCAGCTGATGATGACTGACAGGAGGGATGATGATACTGAGGAGGAGCAGGAGCAGGAGGAGGAGGAGGAGGAGGGGAAAGAGAATAGCTAATGTTTACTAAGCTTTTACAAGGTGGAGCTCAGCCCTAGGATCTTATACACATTAACCCACCATGTTCTCATCACAACCTTATGAGGTGGGTATGCTGTCACCCCATGTTTCAGATGCAGAAACTGAGGCACAGAGAGGGGCAGTCACTCGCCTAAAACACACAGCTGGGAATGGCAGAGCCAGGTCGTCTGGATCCAGACCCCACAGCAACAGCGAGATGGGGCGGGACTCCCTCAACCTATCACTGCACAAGGTGAGGGCGACCCTCCACCTCTTCTGATCCGGGACAATACTGCTTGTTTCCTCCGGCTCCTCTCAGGAAGAGCAGCCTCTCCTAGGACACCCGGCTGGCAGGGAAGGCGGGCAGAGGCCTCGAGAGCTGGGTCAGGTGGCTTGGCTGCAGTCTCTGGCTCAGCCTCCCAGCTGCAAATGCTGACCCCTCTAGGAGGACCTGCAGACCCCCCTGGGAAGGAAACACACTTGGGGAGATCTCAGGCCACACCTCTGTCGCTCCACCTGCCCCACAACTCGCCACACCCAGCCCTCTTAGCCCAGTGGATTTGCAAAAGAGAAAATAAAGCATATACAAATAATAACCAACCCCGTGCTTTTCCTGGCATCCGGTGGCTGCTGGCTAAGAGCTTCCTCCTTCATCATGTACCACTGGACACTCCTACCCTCCTCCAGCTGCTGCCGGCTCAGGTGGCTGATCACAAGCTCAGTCCCGGGCAGACCCCCCACCCATCCGCAAGAAAAGCATTGAGGAATCCAAGGAAGCCAGCTGTGAGATCTACCAGCCAGGGGCCCAGGCCGCCCTCCACCCTCCGCCAGCTCAAAGTCACCTTTGCTCCAACTTCTCAGCCTGCTGGCCAGAGCCAGCCCCAAACTCCCTCCCTCCCGCTCAGCTCAGCAGGAACCGGAACGGCCCCTATTGGGCAATCATTAATCGGATTCTTGACATTCCTGGGCCCAGGTTGGCCTGAGAAGCATGCTCCCTGGTGGAGGAGGAGGAGCAGAGCCCCGGGACTGGCATTTGAACATGCAGCTGACGGGCAAGGTGGTGCTGTCCGCTGCTGCGCTGCTCCTGGTGACCGCAGCCTACAAGCTGTACAAGTCAAGGCCTGCCCGGACCTCTCTCGGGGGCAGGAACACCAAGCCCAAGGAGGAGGAGGAGGAAGCAGAGGACTTGGGACAGATTGCCATCCGCAGAACTCCACTGGGAGCACTTCCCTGGGGGCTGAGACACCGGAGGGGGAGCACCGGGACCGGAGCACCACTGGGCTACATCTGGGAGACCCCAGGGGGCTCCCAAGTCCTGGCACCAGGAGCCTCCCCCAGAGCCGGGAAGCCTGAGAGAAAAGGCGCCAGTGAGGAGCAAGGCGGGCCGTGCCCAGACTTTGACCGGGTGCCTCCTTACTGCAGCGGCCAAGAAGCTGGAACAGCTGTTGGCGGTAAGCCCGAGCTGCCCTACCACCCCCATCTGGGCAGTGAACCCGAAAGGTCCCCAATCGGCCTCGCTGCGGCCGATGCCAGTGGTGCAGGTGGAGACCCAGCACCGTGGCAGCACAGGGGAACCCCAGAGCAGCCAGGGACTGGGGAGCAGGAATGCCCCCACCAGCACGGGCTGGCCCACACAGAAGGCGTGAGTGACATGAACCGGAGCTGGATCTACCCGGGAGTGACGGGAGTCAGCAGGGACAAGGACGGGGCCCTCCAGGCTTCCTCAGACCTGGCCCTGCACCAACAGGCGGGAGCTGCCAATGCCTCCTATACCTTCTCCTCCGTGGCCCGGGTCCGAGTGGAGGAGAATTTCATACAGGAGAAGGTGGAGGGGACCAAGCCCAGGCTGAAGGGCAAAGTGTACGATTACTATGTCGAATCTACCTCTCAGGCCACCTCCAGGGACATGATGACCCCCAGGACGGCAGCCCTGGGGGGGGTGGCACCCCCTGTGCCAGGCCCCCAGGGAACAGGGGCAACCTGGGAAGACCCAGCTGATGGCACAGAAGGCGGAGCCGAAGCAGCCGCCTGCCCCCAGCCTGCCTCGCCACCCCCTAAGCGAGGCATCAGCAGGAAGGAGAGCCTCCTCCAGATCGTGGAAAACCCAGAGCTTCAGCTGCAGCTTGACAGCTTTGGGGACCCTGCGCCATCCTGCTCAGACCAGAGCGCTCTGCCCAGCTCACATCCTCCAGGATCTCTGGGGTCCAGCTCAGCCGGAAACAGTGGGGAGCCCCATGTGCAGCTGGTGGCAGGAACCAATTTCTTCCACCTCCCGCTCACCCCTGATTCGGCCCCCAAAATCCACCTGGATCTGGGCAATTGCTCTGAGGTGCTGAACTTGGCCAAGAGGCAGAACCTGGAGGCCCTAAAGGAGGCGGCCTACAAGGTGATGAGCGACAACTACCTCCAGGTCCTGCGCAACCCGGACATCTACGGGTGCCTGAGCGGGGCGGAGCGGGAGCTGATCCTGCAGCGGCGGCTCCGGGGTCGCAAGCGTCTGGTGGTGGCCGACTTATGTCCCCAGGAAGACTCAGGCCGCCTCTGTTGCTATGAAGACGAGCAGGATGCCTGGCACCCCCTGGCGCACCTGCCCCCTGAGGCTGTGTCCCGGGGCTGTGCCCTCTGCAGTCTTTTCAACTATCTGTTTGTGGTGTCTGGCTGCCAGGGGCCCGGACGCCAGCCCTCCAGCCGCGTCTTCTGCTACAACCCGCTGACGGGCATCTGGAGCGAGGTGTGCCCGCTGAACCAGGCGCGGCCGCACTGCCGGCTGGTGGCCCTGGACGGGCTGCTGTACGCCATCGGGGGCGAGTGCCAGCACACAGTGGAGTGCTACGACCCCCGCCTGGACCGCTGGACCTTCGTCCCGCCGCTGCCCAACGACACCTTCGCGGTGGCGCACACGGCCACGGCCTGCGCGGGGGAGCTCTTCCTCACGGGGGGCACGCTGCGCTACCTGCTGCTCCGCTTCTCCCCGCGGGAGCAGTGCTGGCGGGCAGGCCCCACGGCGGGCGGCAAGGATCGCACGGCCGAGATGGTGGCGGTGGGCGGTTTCCTCTACCGCTTTGACCTCAACCGCAGCCTGGGCCTCAGCGTGTACCGCTGCAGCGCCAGCACCCGCCTCTGGTACGAGTGTGCCACGTACCGGACGCCTTACCCGGACGCCTTCCAATGCGCCGTGGTGGACAACCTCGTCTACTGTGTGGGGCGCCAGCGCACGCTGGGCTTCCTGGCGGACCACGTCTCGCCCAGGTTTGTGCCCAAGGAGCTGCGGCACTTCCCCTCCCCGCGGGGCACGCTCCTGCCCACTGTCCTGACCTTGCCCAACCCCACTGTGCCTCAGACCAGGGTCTAGCAGCCCCTCTGCTGGGCTCCTCCTGCAAAACTGGCAGGCATAGAGCACCCCCCTACAGCTGGTCGGTGGGCCTGCAGGGGGTCCAGGGATTCGGCCTGCAGGGGATGGATTCTCGTCCTACCCACTCCATTGTCAGGTCCCTGAGTTGCGTCTGTGCCTCGGGGCGGGGTGCAGAGGCCCCGTTTGAAGAGAGGACTAGAAAGGAACTGATGTTCCAAGACAGAGGGCACCCTCCCTGGTCTGCAGGGAGAACCACCGCCTAGCTTCAAATCTGAACTCGGTGGCAGGGGCGGCTGTGGAGGGCGGTGAGCCATGGTTGGGAGCACAGGTTTATCACAAGCACATTTCAGAGGCCAGTTGACCCCCAGGGACCACTCAGGCTGACCCCACCGGAGATGGGCCAGCTCTTCAAGCCCCCCAAGACCACTTCATTAACACTAACACTGGCCCCCTCCGGAAGCAGCTGCACCCACAGGTGAGAAAAATCAAGGAAGGTCCTTTTAGCAGGACTAAGGCGGAGCCCGGGGAGCCCCCAGAATCCCCACCAGAGGGAGAGAGGGTTGGAGAAGTAGAACAGCTCCAGCTGAAGCTGCCCACAGGGACTCTCGCCAGTACAGTCAATTTACCAAAGCCCACTTTGCTTTTTCTCATTACCTGGAATTCTAGTATACTAGAAAGAAGCCTCCATTTTTAGCATCCATTTGAAAAAGCACATCTTCTTGCAGGTCCATTCAATAGAACACAATTGATTCTATATATGAAGTCTCAGGAGAGCTGAAGAGAAGGGGTGATCGTGGGGCCACCGTCCCCCTAGGTGCCTGCTCGTGCCTTTTGAATTTTAACCAGTGAGCTCTCTCCCAATCTCAGGACCCTTCACAATGCAGCTCTCCAGGCCACCCAGCCCTCACATCTGTGAGTCGGGGCAGCCACCCCCAGTCTGCCCTCCATGGTTGGTGAGAGGGGATGGCATAACTTGCCCTCCCTGGGCCATGTGGTCACCTGGGCCGCCTCATCAGACAGGAGACCAAGGCGGGGCAAGTCCATGAAGGAACTGAGGAGCTCAGGGTCTTTAGTGGCCCATCAGGAGATGGGGATATCCTTTCACATTGGATTTGGTAAATCCTAGAGAAGAGATACCCCAATCAGGAGGTTACCCACTTTTCCTGGAGGGAAGAAAGAGATTCTGGCCCAATCTGTTGCCATAGCCCCGCTCCTCCTCCAGGGAAGGTGCATACAGCTCGGGGGACGGTGATGCTCGCCAGCACACCAGCGCCGGGGGCTGGAGCCACTTCTACAGTGACCAGGAGCATGGAGGAAAGCAGCAGAGACGGCAGGTGCACCAGGCAGACCTGACAAGGGGGGTTAGAAGGATGCTATGGAATTCAGGGTCCCTATCTTGAAAATGGGAAGAGCAACTTGAGTCCTTCTCTGCCTTGGAGATAAACAAGAACACCTGGAGAAAATTCTTCCCAAGTTCCTGGGAGTCCCAGCAGAAGCTTGTGTCACCACAGCAGCTGTGCTGAGGCTGAGGGCTCTTTTGGAAGCTGGGGGATTGAAACGAAGAATGAGGAGGTTGGCATGGAGACCAGAACTTTCGTTGGAGCACGCGAGGCCACTTTCCCTATTCTAGTGTCTGGGAGGCGAGAGTGTTTAGAGTACTGCTCAGTTAGAGGCTGGAGAGGAAAGTTAGCTGAGACTGTGGCTGGTGCTAGGAGAGTAACCTCCTCCCACACCAAGGTCAGGCTCAAGCTCAAAGTCAACACTCAGGCTTGACTCTCCATGGTGGGGGAGGGGGTGGCCGGGAGGTGACAGTGCATTGTGATGCCAGGCTGGGGAGTGTGTTTGGGAAGAGAACCCCATCTGGGAGTTGGGGGCAGATGGAGTCCCATCCAGCTTCCAAGAGCAGGCCAGTGAGGAGCCAGGATGAGAACCAACCTCATCCAAGCTGGGTAGAATGTGGGGTCAGGCAGTAAGCCAAGGGTAAACTAGGGATCACTCTGGGGATTGAGTGTGGGCAAGGATTCCGGAATAAAGTAGCAAGTGCATTCCAGACCGACAGCTGCTGGGTGTGGTCTTCGTGATAAGATTTGGTCCTGAGATGAGCTGAGACTGAGTTGAGATTTCCCCTCCTCTGGTCCCTGGGCAGACATGCTTAACCAATCACCTATCATCTCATCTTTTCTGATGGTGCCCTTTTAACCTCAGAACTGCTCCAGTGTCAGACTCCAGTGTCAACCCATAGATTTCCCATCACCATCCTGGGTTTCAGGAGCTGAGTTTAAGGGACTAGAGGGTCAGAGCATTATGGGGGAGCCAGGGAGCTGGGGGCCGTGATGGTCAGGATTCACCTACAGGATGTGTAGACCAGGCAACTTTCCTGGAGCTGCAGCTGATCCCTCCCCTAAAGGAGTTCGCATGTTGGGGGGTGAGGGCGCAGAATAAGCAACTGTAAAAACCAAATTCATGAATAACAGGATCCTCGATGCATAAGTGCCACGGAGAAAGACAAGGCGGGGAGGGCGGTTAGAGTGATGCTGTAAGAACACACTAAGCAGAATGGGAATCTGGGGTACAGACGACACCGGGGCTGGCTGGGGCCTGGAAAAGGCCAGGCCTGCCGCACAGCCTGCCTGGACCACCTCCAAGGAGCTCCATCGTGAGTAACGTGAGCAGGCCCAGCTATTGTGCTTTAGCCTTTCATGGAAGGGCGAGAATTCCACTGCCAACACTTATAAGAGGCCCCATGGATGAGATAAGCTACTTGTCCAAGGGAGAAGAGGATGAGGGTCACAGTCGCCACCAGGACATCCCAGATGCCACTGCTAAGCCGTGCGGCTGGTGTCAGCCCACCCATAGCACTCCAGGGGACTCCAGAGGTCAGAGTTCAGGGTTTCCACTTGACCTTGGTGTGTTGACCCCTAGCCCTCAGCCTCAGCATGGCCTGCATGTCCCTTGGCTTCCCCGTGGGTCAACTGTCCTGCTTTCCCACTAAAAGTCCTTTCTTCCTTGAGGAAAAAGCAACGCTGAAGTTTGAGCTGCTTTCCATGTTGAGCCAAGCATGCCATTATAGGAAAAAATTGGAAAACAGAAAAGTATAAAAAAACTCCCCAATTTTACCACCTGAAGACACCCCCCCGCTGCGGCGCGTCCCTATGGTCTGTTTCCTCCATGTATAATTCTTGTTTGGCTTGATTTTTGCGTAGGTGTGATTATGCTGAATCCACAATTCAGTTGCTTCCTTTTTCCCACTTAGCTTTTTAGAATAAGCACTTTCCCGTGTTATTACAAACCCTCGGTAAACATCATTTCAATGGTTGCACGATATTCTGCCGGGTGTGTGGACCGTGGTTTATTTAAACATTCCCCCTCCTGTTGGGCCTGTAGTTTCATGGGTTTTTTTTTTTTTTCCTCCTGTTGGTTTCTTTTTCTATCATAAATAAAGCATCCTTTGTTTTCTTGTTCCTCTCTGTCTGGGGCCTCCATCAATATTTACGAGAGGAGCGCCTTCCAGGTCCTGTCTGGAATAGCAAGGTTGTTGAAACTGCCCCAGAAGCTGGGGCTGGGGCCTGGGCTCACACCCACGTAAACACGGGAGCTGCCTTTGGAAATGGCCAGCAAAAAAGGCAAGGTGACTGGAGGGGCCATCCCAGGGTTCCTGCCCTCAGTGCTCCTGGAGCTGGACCTGAGGCAGGTGCCCCGGACATAGAGCCAGGCTCTGCACTCACCCTGCTGGGACTAGAGGCTGTGGACACATCACTTCCCCCATCCCCACGACGACCCATTTCACAGGTGAACAAACTGCGGCTCAAAGAGTCCAAGCAAACTTGCCTTAATGGCAAACTCCAAAGGCCTGCGGTTTCCTTAGAAGTAAACTTGAATCCTCCCATCCACCATCTTTCCCCTCTCTAGAGGCACTGGAGCCTCCACCATCTCCCCCAGGTTGCCCCATCCCTTCTCTATCCATGCTAGTCGATTTTGCTCTGTCCTTGAACTTTGAAATCAATGCAAATCTTAAACTTTCCCAACCTCAAAATCTGCATCTTTGAAATGGGTTTGCCACTGTGAGCCGAGGAAGGAGGTTGTAAGAATTAACGAGAAAATTTGTATAAAGCACCAAGTCAGCCAGGAACCACCCCAACAGTTGGTCTCCTAAGCAGGGGGGCTGCCCTGAGGGCTGGAGCCACTGCAACGGGGCCCTGGGTCTGGCTACAACTGTCTTCACAGGTGCCAGGTGCTTCCCACTTTGTCATCCTTATCTGGAAGGACCTGGTGGCTCCAGAGTCCCCCTCTGAGGCCCCTGAAGCTGTGGCTCCCGCCTGGAGGAACCCTCAGGCAGATGGGCGGCTGCAGCAGAGGGAGAGAGATGAAACAGAGGGAGGGGGTGCCCTCAGGGAGCAGAAGATTAGGAGAGGGGCCGCTGGGGAGCTGGAAGAAAGCACAGCCCAGAGGAGAATCTCCAGAGCTTTGGGTTTTTTGAAAAGTGGGGTGTGGGTCAAAATAAAACACAATGAAAAAGCGATTAAGCCTGGATTGCCTTTCTGTGCGCAGGAGGAGGCGGAGCCATGGTGCTATCCTTAGACTAAGAACCCGGTTCTCCCCGCACAGCTCTGCAAATACTTGATCCTTCCCTCCTCAGATCCCTTCTGAGACCCCGCGGGTCAAAGAGGAATGAGCGACATGGTTGTGGGAAGGAAAGGAAGACGTGTCACAAAGTTAAAAATTAGTATTTAAGTACATGTGATAACATTTACCTTTCTGTTATGGAAAAACTGAAGAGGAATATATTCGTGGTCAATTTATGTCCTGAGCGCCCACCATGCTATTACTCACTGTGACTCTCCCTTTATCCACAACCCAATGGTGGGGGAGCGCCGGGCTGGACAAATTTTGCCCTTTGCTTGATCTGGTCATGGACTTGCTTGAAGTAACTTGAGCCCCGGGCTGACTCCCTCTTTTAACGCTCAGAAGCCCCGAGAAAGTCAGTGTGTGCCGAGCCTGGCCAGCCGGGTGGACACGCCCCAGCTCCCTCAGCCACAGCCAGGCAAACACCTCGTGGGCCCCACACAGGTCGGGGTCCCCCATCCGGTGAGGGAGGCACTATTAGCCCCACTTCACAGCTGAGAAAACTGGAGTTCAAGTAAATGTAGCAGGTTTCCCACATGGCCACAGGCAGAGAAGCCAGAGGCCGCCCAGGCTGCCCGCTCCAAAGCCCTTCCTCAGCCACACGGTCCTGGCTCTGTTCTAGACAGAATCAGGGTGTTGGGGTCCCTCTTGGGGCCAGGGGCTCTTCAGGCTCTGCCCTCTGCCACTCCCAGAAGGGCCAGATCTTCACCAGGACCCATTATCTGCAAGGGCACCAGCCTCAGCAAGCGGAGGGCGGTCTTCTCAGAAAGACAACATCTGCTCCTTGAAAAAACACTAACTAAAAACTAGGCTGCAAGCTCTGCTGCAAGCTCTTGATTTGCAGTCATTCATTTAATTTTTAAAGCCATGCCCTGGGTTACCTGTTTTACTATTACACAGCGGAGGAATGTGAGGCACAGAGGGGGTCAGTGACCATCAGTAGGCGGCACAGCCCCTACATGAGAAGCCCCTGCAGTGTCAGGAGATGCCCCAACTGTGAGAGCAGGGAGGGCTCCCTGGGATCTGGGTCAGAGGCCTTGACTGTCTTGCTCGGTGGGTCCCATTCACCCAGGTGTCCCCGGGCCAGGATCTGGGTCAGGGCAGACAGGATGAAAGCACCACATGTCACCGCATAGGGCTGCCTGGCTTCCCCGCTGCTCCACCCCCCACTGGATCTTCAGGGGCCTAAACCCCTGCTGGCTCTGTGTGGCTTGCCGAGAGCAGTGGGTATGAGCTGGTCCCTGCGGGTGAGGCAGGAAATCCAGAATCCCCGGGCCATTCATCAAAAGCCACGGCCCTGCCCATTGTGCTGCCCCGAGTTTGTGTCCACTCAGAGCTCATGCGGAGGCCTGTCCTAGTCCATCTCACAGACGGGTAAGTGACACCCGGGTGGGCTCACAGCTGTGATGTCAATACCCATCCTTCAAGGCCTTGAGAGGGTGGCCTCACATCCCCCATCCCCGGAACTCCCTCAGAGGGACCACCCCATGCACACATAGCCCCCACTTCCACTCAGCAACCTCATCCTACAGGTCTGCTGACCTGGGGCAGCTCCCCCTGGGCAGGAAGGTTGTCGTGTCCGCCTCTGTCCCTGGCGCCAGCGCAGGGCAACCCCGACACCTTCTAAAAGCACCATCAGTAGCGCTGTCTGGTGTCCACGCTGCCCCCTGCAGCACAGCCATGCACAGCGTGGTTGCTTTCCTGTCTCCAGGAGGGGCTGTTCCATACCTTCTGCCCTTCCCTCAAACATGCACCTCCCCCTTATACAAGCACTGGGGTACAGGTCAGAGGCTCAGGAGGGCGAGAGAATCCACCAGAAACAGAGCAGGGAGCAGGACAAGCAGAAAGACTGAAATACACTGCTGAGAGGAGCAGCTGGTGAGAAAGGAGAGGTCTGCCTCGCCAGGTGGGAATCTCTCTGGCCAGCTGGGAATCGAACCGAAACTGCAGAGGTTACGGACAGCTTCACAGTGCTGCGCTCAACCCACTGCGCCACTGGGGAGGCCCCCAGAGAGCCCCTCAGTTCTCACACTGCTGAGGCCAACCATCTGCTGAACCATCAGCACCTGCACACTGCCCAGAGGGTCAGCGCGCACTGCCTGGGGTTGTAGCGCCCCCTCGAGGTTCCTGCTGGCATAAAAATACTGCCTTGGTATTAATTCAGGGGCCTGCTCTGCACCGGCCCCCAGAAAAACTCCCCTTGAACAGTGACTCGAGTCCTCCCTGGTGATGCTCCTACCTGCTCCTGCTTCCTTGGGGAAACCACACACGAGATCCCTCGACCCCGAGCTCTCTTAACCTCTTTAGGATTTACAGCACAGCAGCCCTGCCCTGGCCCCCACAACTGCCCCTACCTCCTGGCTGGTTCCAGCATTGAAATGGCGAGCGTTCTTTCACATGAGTTGCCTGATGGTGCAATAAATAAAATCCATGAATACACTTCGGAAGGTTAAAAACACTCTGCAAATATAATACATCTTTCTCCGTAATGAGTGTCAAAGTGGTGGGGGGTCTATGTTCTTGAGAACAGTTTATCCTCCGGAGACTGGTGATTGTTTCTCCTGCAATCAGGTTATTGTTATCACATTCAGCAGGCTTTACTTTGCAGAAAATATGAGGGTTGGCTTTAACCTGGCCTCAATCTGAATCATAATAATGAGTGAACTCTTGGAAAAAAAAAATCACCCTGTTACAGAATATTTTCCATCCGATATGAGTCAAAATCTTGGATTGCAGCTAGAAATTCCAATTCCCCCCGCATACCTGGGCCCTTTGGCCACATGACTCACGTCCAGGCCTGGCCCCTGTCCTCTGGACACACAGCAGTGGGAGGTGATGGTAAATTAGGGCTATATCAGGAAATCCCAGGCAGGGCGGCGTCTTGAGAACAAATTATCTTTTTCTAACATACTTTTCATTATGGTAAAATACACATAACACAAAATTTACCATCGTGGCCTCTTTAAAGTGCCCAGGCTTAATTACCTTCAGGACGCTGTTTTATGTTTTATCAATTGCAAAAGACACACAGACATTTAATGCTGAACATATAATTGGAAAAATACAGAAAGTTCCACTCTGAAATAATCAGTTATTGGTTTGACTTTCTAAAATTATAGTCTTTTATTGTCCATAATTAAAAAAAATAAAAATCAGGGCCTTATACTGTACTTGCTATATAATTATTCTTTTCTTCTATCAGGATTTATGACTGCTTTCAAGTTTAAAAAATACCTCACTGGGTTTCTTTTTATGGTGGTAAAATACCAGTAGCATAAAATTTACCATTTTGACGATTTTTAAGTGTGCGGTTCAGAGGCACACGCACCTCCTGTGGCCCATCACCACCGTCCACCCACACAGCATTCTCATCTTCCAAACAGAAACTCTGCCCCCATCACCATTCACTCCCCGCCCCCAGCCCCTGGTAAGTAAAAGTCATCTTTAACTTTGGAAAACATCCCTTACAAAGATAAGGAACTTTTCTGCTCCATCAGCACAGATAATTGGGAATGTGCCGTGAGCACAAAGACACACTGGTTTTCATTCATTCTGGAAAGTTCTGCAAACAACACAGAGCTCAGCTCAGTGGGATGCTTTGGGGCAAAAGAATCAATAGCTTCTTTCTCAGAGATACTAACTTCCCTCCTTATTACCATGGGGGAAAGACAAAGGGAAAACACTCCCTGTTCTCTATGAATTTCCTGCATCCTCAAGCTAAACGAATTACTTTCGGTGCTTTAACAAGAATATAGTTTGGAAAAGGCTGGGCTGTCAAGCATGTTAATGATTGTGTTATGTCGCGGGTCCTAATTAGG